ATGCCTGCTTTAGAATGGAATTCTTTTCATCGCCTGAAAAACTCACGTTAGGTAAAAAGGGCTAGTTACGTAGCACGCAGTTTTTCTATTGATTTTCGGTGCTCTCATACATTCTAATATACTTTTTTTAGAGTACTGGCACAAATATAGTTTCTTGTACTAATTTATTAACATCTAATATATTTAAATCTTGTGCTCGAAGAAGGCGTATATTTAGGTTTTGAAAAAAAGTTTTTAATTTGTGAAAAAAAAACTCGCAGCGTCGGCGGGAACGGAAACTGCAAAGCAGGGAAGGTTTTTTGCGCAGCCAACGCTCTACCAAATTGTGAATTTAATCACACTTGGATCGATTTTATCCGCCCAACTTATCGCTCGTATGGAATCCACCATTACGGAACAGCAAATTGACTACCCAAGCAGGATTTCCTAAGCAATCATCTGGAATCCACCAGAATGACTGCTAGGCTAGGTAGGGTGTTGGCTGCACAAGAAGCCTTACCTCCTGTGCGGATTTGACTCCCGCCGGCGCCGCGAACTTTTTCACAATTGAATCAAATAAACTAAGCAAATCTGCCAAAACCCCCTAACAAAGTTTTTTAATTAGGAGATTTTTTAAGAACGTGCAGTGTCAATTCATATAAAATAGCAACTGTCTACTTTTTAATGCTCCGCCTGTGGTACACAATATGGTCCACATCCATTGCATGATTGTATGGGTCAATTTTGTTTTTTGTCCCGTGGGTAATGTATAGCGCCTGGGATGAAAATGATGAACGCAAATGCACCAGCAAGTGGGACTTAAGAGTTGTCAGGAATGGAAACTATGTTAACGAATGACTTGTATGTGGCCACCTAAACAGCACCCGGGAACAGGAAGCGCCCATTCAATGTGTGGTTTTAGACAACATCCGGAGAAATTAGGTTTAGGATTAAGGTAAGAGCCGGGGTTACGTAAGGAGCTAGGTTTAAGTCAGAGCTAAAATTAGAGCTGGGGATTGGGTCAAGATTATCTTAAGGATTGGTATTTGGGCTCCTGTTAACTGTAGAGTTTAGCGAAGAGGACGACTCGATCGCTGGGACAATACCTTTATTCGCCTGACGTTTCGACATCCTTCGCGGTTTCTTCATCAGAGACATAGTCTCACAGAGCAGTACCAGATACAGGTAGAGTCGTCTTCTTCTCAATTACTTCCTGGGACTCGCATGTTCGCTTATGTAGGGTTTATGTCTAGGGGAAGGCTAGTGTTAAGATTAAAGTTACAATTTAGTTTAGTATGAGGGGTTGAGACGCGGTAATATTTACCCTTTCTGAAGCTTATCGCAAGGCAATCTGTTTGGAAGTGGACGGTGACTTTCTAGTCCCTTGTCCCGTTTTGTCGGCCATACAAGTCATCCATGCGGTATGTGTGGCCGGAAACGGAAACAGGAATCGCCCACTTTACACGTGGCTTTGCGCCAAACTCCGATGAAGTTAGGTTTAAGCTTAAGGTAAGGATTATGGTTCAAGTTAGGTTTAGGGCCAGAGTTGGAGTTAGTAATGTCAGGAGTAAGCTAAGGGATTAAGCTTTAGGTTCGTGCTAATTAAAGGGGTTAGGGTAGGGGTAGGTTTAAGATTAAACCTACAGTGTATTTTTATGTTAAGTTTATTGGTGGTGTTAAATCAGAGGAATATTTACCGTTCCTAAAATTTATCTGTTTAAAGTGGGCGGGGCGTTCTTATTCCCTTGTCCCGTTTGGGTGGCCATACAAGTCACCCTTACGGAAACCGTTCTTTAAGCCTAAATATACCAGACTCTTTGGCATGAGACCTTAAAGTATGTGTTATTTAGTAGGGAGGTTTGGCAGATTTGGTTAATTCAGTTGACCTATTTTTTGAAAAAACTCACGGCATTCGGCGGGCTTCGAACCGGCAGAAGAGGGAAAGCCTTCTACGCAAGCGAACGCTCTACCTACTTGAGCTACGAATGCCCTCCTATGCGGGTTCGAATTCCGCCGAATGCCGCGAGTTTCTTCAGAATTGGTTCAACTACAATATGTGTTATTTGTTACCAAATAAGTAAAAGAAAGAACATTTGGGTTACATATCCAGATCTGCCTACTCAGTTTCTTAAGTAGACGTGGTTTACTGAGCTGTAAGCTTTTATGCTACCACACCCATGATGTCTTAGCGTGCGCCATTACATCGCGGCTGTTGCGGATTTGCTTCGGTCTGCCTAGCGTCACGTGCGCGTGTCACCCCCTGAAAACCGTACTCCGTCTTTGGTTTCCTGATTGCACGTCTTTGATACCCTCATCTCCCCTCCGCTTCTCCTTCGGCAGTAGCCTTCCTATGCCTTTTTACCGGGTACGCATGGATGTGCACCATTACACTTCACGGAACGGCTTCCATTACGGCTTTACGCCTGCAGGGTACAACAAACCGGACGTCGTCATTTGCCTTTTATGTTTAACGGTCGGTTTACTCTGCCACGAGCACATTCCGTGCCAATTTGGGGCATTTTCTTTGCTCTGCGTGCACATTAACCGTCGTCCTTCGGCCTTTTGGCTGTCCAGTGCGCTATGGGGGTGCGTCCGCCTGTTGGCTTTACTTACTAGAGTAAAAAACCCTCATCTTTACCGTCCTGGCTTGCCTTAATGTGCTGCTTAAATTACGCTTCGCGGAGTTACCTTGGGCTACGGCGTCTGATATTGCTCGCTCAGCCTACCATCTGGGCTTGACCTCAAGTCTGGGGGAGCGGGTGAAGGGAGATTTTTCGGAGGTAAACAGTAACCCCTCCCGCCAAGTTTAGGCCATCTTTCTTCTGCTACCTTGGCCCGCAGGCGTTCCTATGCGGTTTTGCTTTCTCCAGAATACCTTATTCGTTTTTTTGCGGTTGTCCATGCTTCTGTGGATGCTATCGGTGCATTGCGCGTCGCTTCTTCAAAACGAAACTGCGTCTCGAATAGCCTTTTCTATTCTGTACAGGTTTAATTCAACCAATAAGATTAAAGATGTTAGAGCGGTGAAGTAGCAATCGCTTTATAGTTAGTAAATTAATTATCAAGCATAAGAACTTGCTAGGACGACAATATACCCGCTTGCTGTCCGTGCGGACATTTTTGTTGACCTGTGGGTGCTCGGCCGCCAAACCGTGTGTCTTACTTCGAAAAAAGCCTACATTATACTAATATTATGCATTGTATTACCGCTTCCCGGATTTTCGATTGCTTCGTTAACATTTGCCTACTCATCCTCTACCTAGTTTGGCTAAGGCAAGACGAATTATTTCGGGTACCCCATACGTCAGCCTCATAAATAAACATATTTTACGTAAAATAGTGTTTTGATCTGTCTACCTTGCATTTGAGAATCCATTCCTCGATGAAAATAATGTCCTGCATCTGCCTCTACATTAACCGTAATCGGAGCCGAATTTGTCACTGTTCGTTCTCAGACACAATTGGCTATCTACGCCCGTGGACCTTCACCCGCGCAAAGTCGTGAATGGCCTCTCTTTGGTTCACTAAACGTTGTTCGTTTTTGTTGTTTTTTTAATTGGCACGCTCGGCTTCAGCCTTTTCCGTGAATGGAGTAAAACAATCGATATGCGATTTTTAAGCCTAATTTTCTTCTGGACTACCTTTACCAGCGCGTTCTTCTGTTCACGCATCGACAGTTCGACGGTAGATTTCGCCAAAGTCCACCGTCTGCCCCACACTATGATGGCGCAGAGATGATAGTTCTCGCGTGATTATGTTTTTAGTCGTAGTAGACTTTCGCAGCATCTACCACACAGCCATAATCAACTCAAAACAACCGGTGGCGAGAGAGCTCACGGGTGACTGGCGTGACAGGAGCCGCCGCTAGGCGTGCCGCCACGCCTGACTCGGGGCCATGAGGACCACATTAAGAATTAACCATTGCAACCCTGCCCTCCATCAGTCGACCAATCCGCATAAACGCACAATGGGCTGGCAGCGAGGTTTGACTTATACCGTCCACTGTTAACCTTCCAAGCCATGACTTTAGCGCACCCTGATAGTCTCCAATCTACTATCACTTGAAATTAATCCACGCACATGGTTAACGCTGTCGAAATCGGCGGTCGAACTGTTGTTCGTGCGAGCTGGAGAGATGTGCTAATGTGGCCTGACCGGCGGTTTTCTAGTGCAAGTTTTCATGGAGGCGCATATGGCCCAGTAGACTGAATATGCATGAACAACTGAGTCGTTAAGGTGGATGCCGTGGGTGTATTTTGGTGCTCTTAGACCTGGTT